TGCATGTAGCAGTAGTTCCTTTATGCTGTAGAGTGCTATTTCATTGTACAGACATACCACATTTTATTTATTTACCTATTGATGGACATTTGGGTTGTTTGTAGTTTGGGGCTATTATGAATAAAGCTGCTATAAATATTTGTGAACTAGTCTTAGCATGCATATATGTTTTCATTTCTCTTGAGTGAACACTAGAAATGGAATGACTACATCCTAGGGTAGTTGTATGTTCGCTTTTACTACCAGGACTTTTCCCATAGTGGTTGTACCACTTTACATTTCCAGCAGCAACACATAAATTTTGGATGCACCACATCTTTGGTAATGTCAGTCTGTTTAATTTTAGCCATTCTGGTGCGTGTGTATGGTATCTTTTGTTTTAAAAAAAAATCAGAATTATTGCCGTGGCTGGTGTGACTCAGTGGATTGGGTGCCAGCCTGCAAGCCATAAGGTTGCTGGTACAAGCCTGGGTTGTGGGCCAGGGCCCTGCTTCGTGGCGTGCAAGAGGCAACTGATTGTTTCTCTTGAACATTGATTTTTTTTCTTTCCCTCTCTTTCTCCTTTCCTTCCCCTCTTTCTAAAAATAAATAAAATTTTTTTAAAAAAATTCAGGATTATTGAGGTATAATTTACATATAGTACATTCACCTGTTTTGGCATACAGTTTTATAAGTTTTGACATATGCATATAATCTTGTAAGCTCCACCACAATCAAGATACACAACAGTGAATATTACAAAAAAAACTTTCCTCATGTTCCTTTTTTTGAAAAAAAATACTGTATTTATTTTTAGAGGAAGGGAAAGGGAGAGAGAGACAGAGAGAAACACCAGTGTGAGAGAGAAACGTGGTTGTTGCCTCTCGTATGCGCCCCGACACGGAGCCAAAGCCAAAACCTAGGCCTGTGCCCTGGACAAGAATCAAACCTGTGATCTTTCGCTTTGCGCAACGATGCCCACCCCAGCCACCATGTGCAGCGCCCTCATGTTCCTTTGTCCTCAGTCCTTCTCCCTAGTCTAAGCCCTAGCAACTCTAATCTGTTTTATCACTGAACTAAAAAAATAATTTGTATGCAGTACAGTTTACTCTTTTTTGCATATGGGCCTGTGAGTCTCGATAAATGCATAGTCACGTACCCCACCACAGCCAAGATACAGAACATGTACATCACTCCAGAAATTACCCCTTGAAGTCAGCCCCTTCCCCCACCTGCTGATCTTGTTACCTGTCCTGATAACGTTTATGGGCCTGGCGTCTTTAGCTTAGCAAAATACAATTGAGATTTACCTGTGTATCAGTAGCTTTTCCCCCTACATGGCTAAGTGGTATTCCATTGTTTTGGGTATACCACAGTATTCATTTACCACATAGAACGACATTTGGGTTGTTGCTGCTTTTTCCAGTTATGAACAGTGTTTCTGTAAACATTTCCATACAGGTTTTTTGTATGAACATAAGCTTTCAATTCATGTGGATAAACCCCTAGGAGTGGATTGCTGGGTCACATTGTAAGGATATTTAACTTTATAGGAATCTGCCAAATTGTATTCCTGTGTTGCAGTACTATTTTGCATTCCCACCAGCAATTGTATGCGAGTGTTCATTTGTTCCATATCCTTGTCAGCATTTGGTATTTTCAGGGTTTTGTTTCGTTTTGGTATTTCTTGTTTGTTTGTTTTAGCCATTATAGGAGGTATGCAGTGGTATCTCATGGTTTTTCTTTACGATACCTTCTTGAGTAATGATCATCTTTTTATGTGCTTATTTACTGTGTATATGTATTCTTCTTTGTGTGGGCTTGTCTTCATGTTTTTTGACCATTTTTCTATTTGGTTGATCATCTGGTTATTGAATTAGAATAATTTTTTGCCTGTTCTTAGACCTCAGTTATTTGATATATATGTACTGAATATTTTCTCATTCTATGGCTTGTCTTTTGATTTCTTAATGATTTCTTCCAAAGATCAGTTCTTTTAAATAAGTCCAACATATTAACTATTATAAGGTTCAGATTTTTTGTATATTATCTAAGAAATCCTGCCTACTCCCCAAGGTCACAAAGACCTCCTCTTGTATATATTTTTAGAAGCTTTATTATTGTAGCTTTTATATTAGGTCTCTGGTCCATCTTGAGTTAATTTATTTCCACATGGATAGCTAATTGTTCCAGCACCATTTGTTGAATGATTATCCTTCTGTGGAATTGCCTTGGCATCTTCGTTGAAAATCAATTGGCAGTGTGTGTATGGGTCTGTTTCTGGGTGCTGTTCTGTTTCATTGATTTATTATATCTATATTTTCACCAACGCTACACTGTTTTTATTGATGTAACTTTATTGTAATCTTTAATTCAAGTAATGCAGGTTGTTCTTTGGGAAATAGATTTGGCTTTATAAGGTAATTTTCATTTCTACGTATATAATAGAATCACCTTGTCATTCTTAAAATATCCTGCTAGAATTTTGATTGGTTAGATTGTAGATTTACTTTATTCCTTTCTGTGTCTGGAAAATACTTCATTGTATGGATATACCACATTTTTTTAACCCATTCACCTGTTGTTGGACATATAGATTGTTTCTACTTTTTTGGCTCTTGTGAATAGTGCTGCTGTAAACATTCATGTGTAAGTGTTTGAGTATCTGTTTTCAATTCTTTTGGGTATATACCTAGAAGTAGAAATGCTGAGTTGTATAGTAATTCTGTGTTTAACTTTTGAAGAACTGCTAAGCTGTTACACAGCTGTTGTACCAGTTTACATTCCCAGCAGCGATGTTAGGAGGGTCCAGTCTCTCTTCATGTTGTGGCTAAAACTTATTTTCTTCTCTTTTAACTATACCTGTCCTCGTGGGTATGGAGCAGTGTCTCATTGTGGTATTGATTTACATTTCCCTAATGACAAATAATACTGAGAATCTTTTTATGTTCTGGTTGACCATTTGTATATCTTCTTTGGGAGAAATGTCTGCCTATTTTTTAACTTTTATTGTTGTTTAGTTGTAAGAGTTAGTTCCATATTCAGATATGAGACCTTATCAGATATATAATTTGCAACATTTTCTCCTATTTTATAGATTGTTGTTTCATTTTTTTATCTCCTTTGATGCAAAATTTCAGATTTTTATGAAGTCCAGTTTATCTTATTTTTTTTGCTGGTGGTTTGTACTTTTGCTGTCATATTTAAGAATTCATCTCCACATCCGAGGCCATGAAGGTCATGAAGATAAATCCCTATACTTTCTTAAAGTTTTATTGTTTTAGCCCTTATATTGTTAATCCATTTTGAGTTATGTTTTGTGTATGGTGTGAGGTAGAGGCCCAGTTCCATTCTTTTTACCATGTGGAGAACCCACTGTCCCAGCACCAATTGTGGAAAAGGCTATTTTCTCATTGCATGATATTGGCACCTTATTGAAAATCAGTTGGCTCTCGATGTATATAAGTTTATCTCTGGGTTCTCAATTCTGTTCTTTTGGTCTATGTCTATCTTAAGGCAGTACCATGCAAGTTGGTTGTTTTTACCTGTAGATGTGTTGGTATGATATATTAATTTTTCTAGCTTTGATTACATTTTTGAGATTTTTTAAAACCTCAACCTTAGAGATTATTTTCTCTAAGTGCCAGATTTATAACTCAAACATAGGAATTTAGTGGACAGTTTGAAACTTTTTGGTATGTTTCACCATTTCTCTGACTGCATACAGAATGGTGATTGGTGATTTATATATGCAACATATCAGGGTGTATACTACCTGAATTTTCGCTGGGAGTTAAACTTTCCTTGATCCTTTACATAAAGAGCTATTATATAAATAAATTCAACCTGCTAAAAGATGTTGCCACTGGCTATACAAGTACAAGAAGAGGAGCAGTCTGAGCATTGGCGTCACATCAGGAAGGAGTCACATACCTATTTCTAGAGGAAAAAATGACTGTAAACAGTGCTTTTTTTACTCAGGTCATGGTTTTCAACTTTAATCGGCGCAATAAAATTTTCAGTACTTCAGAATCAGAATATGATATGCTTCTGAAGTCTCTTACTCTATAACCTCTCTCTTTTATTTTCCCTGTAGTAATTGATTTGCTGGAGAATCTGGGCTCTTTGTCCTATTTTTTCCCACAACTTGGCTTTTGCTTATTGAAACCCTCTTGTTTGGTTTAATATGTTCCTCTGTGTTCTTTATTTTCTGTAAATTGGTAGTTGGACATAGAGAGATGTAGATACTTGAGCAGATTCTGATAAAAACTTGGTTTTTTTGGTTATAGTGTGTTCATTTCATTGGTACTATTTGTATTTTCCATCAAGAAGCACATAGTACCTGCTTATCTTTTTTCATGGTGTTAGCTAACTTTGTTGTGATTCATTTTAGTTTTAAAATTGAAAAGGTTTTAGAGGAGCAAGATGGTATAGAGATTAAGACACAGCTTTAGCGTCCAAGAATCTGGTTCATGTTTTGATTCATTACCTACTAGTTTTCCAACTTTGGAAAGTCACTTCCCTTCCCAGGGTTAAGTTTCTGGTCTGTGAGGGGAAAGAGGGTGCCTACTCATAGGGTCGTTTCTGAGAAAGTGCATGGAAAAGAATCACCCAGAGCCTAGCATGTAGTAAGTAGCCAGTGAGTCAGCTACCGCTGTTGTTTTGTGAATTTACAAAACATTCTAAAACAGTCTGAAAAGTAGATTATCTCAATTTATAAGTGAGGAAATTAAAGTTTGGATGGCTAATTTTTTGGTTCACTTGGGTTTGTTTAGGGAAAAGTAAGTAAATGATTCAAGTGAGGTGACTTTTTGTTTTCATCAATGTGAACAATTTCATTTAGTAACCACTCCAAAGCTTAATTTTAAAAGTGATTTTTGCCAATGCTTTGTATGTGTTCATACTGAACAGCTCCCACCTAATGCTGAAAAGTAGGCTCCTTGTGGAACAATGCATACTATAGCACAGTTGTTCTCGAAGTCCACTGAGGAGTATTCACTGTTAATGTTGTTGTTTTACAGTGTAATGTTCAAGCCCAGAAATGCCTTATGTGGATCGTCAGAATCGCATTTGTGGTTTTCTGGACATTGAAGAAAATGAAAATAGTGGGAAATTTCTTCGAAGGTACTTCATACTGGATACCAGAGAAGATAGTTTTGTATGGTACATGGATAACCCACAGGTTTGTAAAATCCAGAAGGTTACCTTTCTTCAAAAGCATACAAGGGTTTTAATTGTTAAAGTATTTGACATACTACTGACGTTAGGATTTATCTTCCTAAACACCACATATTTAGGTTTATTTCTACTGGCAGCGCCCTCCCTGCCCTGCACCCCCAACTCCTAATGTCTTAATTTAAATTTCATAGGATGAAACTAAATTTGTTTGATAAAAATTTATGCATCATATGTACTTTTCCTCCCTTGGGAGAGAAGCACGATCTCTGGCAGAAAAATTTAACATCATTTAGGTTTAAGATAGTGTCTCTAAGACAGAGATGACTATTTTTTGGAAATAAGCTACTTAAACTAGTTGCCACCCTTCCATGTGTGTAGTCCTTTTCATCTTGTAGTGTGAAACTTGCCTGTCAGCCATTGTAATGCCATTCATGAGTTGAAATCCACTTTAATTGCTGCCTTGCAGATTATTAGGGGTAAATGTTGTAAACTAAAAATGAGAATCTTAGTTTTAAGATCTGTAAGAGACCTTGGCTTAGAGACCATCTGTTCTGCAGTTTTAAATTTACCTGTGATTTTTTTATTCAAATTGAGATGTATGTTGCACGGAAGCATGTGCAAAGCACAGATGAGTCCCTAGCAGACTTCTGAGCTGGCCTGGTCTAGTGGTCTGCTTGTGCAGGGGAGGGACCAGAAGGCCTGGCAAGGCAGGGACTGGTCGTAGGTTCCATCCCGTTGCACCAAATGGGAACTACATCCCCTGACAACTAGTCTAGTATTCTTTACTACCCTATACTGACTTTAGATTAGATAAAATACATATATACTGATGTATTTATATTTGTTCATCCAGAATTTGAGTTGTAAGAGACCTTGGTATTAGTTCACCCTCCTTAATGCAAGAAACCCACTTATCCCTGGTCTTTACCTTCACTCTTGTTTGAACTACACATTATTAAAAAGTACATATTATATTTGAGGCAGGTTTAATTATTATTAGTTCTGTGAGCCATATTCTAGTTACTTGTATCTTCTACCCATTAATCCTACTTTTGACCTTTGATTCTGTGTAAGTCTAGACCGTTATTCACATGGAGCCTTTAAATTTTGGAGGATAATCTGTATTTTAAGTTACTTTATATGATTTGAGTGCTGACTTTGTATGAGACTTTTTCTTTCCTTCCTTCCTTCCTTCCTTCCTTCCTTCCTTCCTCCCTCCCTCCCTCCCTCCCTCCCTCCCTCCCTCCCTCCCTCCCTCTGTTCTCTGTCCTTACTCTTAAGAGCTTTCTGACTCAGTTTTACTCCCTTATCTCTGGGTGTATCCAGCTTTCTTGGGAGGTAGTAACCTGGCTATGCACCCACATGATTAATATCTTTATTTACTTGACCAGAGTCAGTGAGAGAAGGAACAGGTCTCTGGGTGTATCCAGCTTTCTTGGGAGGTAGTAACCTGGCTATGCACCCACATGATTAATATCTTTATTTACTTGACCAGAGTCAGTGGGAGAAGGAACAGGTCAACAGAAATCAAAAGTTCATTTTTAACAACCCGCCCCCTCCTCCCTGCTTTTAAACATTAATCAGATTTCTCCCTTTTCTAACCCCATCTCTATCTGTGGCACAAGCCCCTCCCAAACTCTTTTCCCAAAGGTGGAAGGTACCTTAATACCCGTTGACTCCTTCTAATGATTGTTTACTAGATTCCATATCTGGTCCTCCTCACCCATGCAAACCATTATACTGTTCTGCCTGTTATATATCATCACTCCTGAATTTTGTTTACAAATCCTTTACTGGTTCTCTGTCTTCATATACAACAGGTTCTCCTTAGAATTTCTTCCTTTATCAGTACTTTCCATTTAAACGGAGCTAAAAGTTGATAAGTACAAAATAGAATATGTTTATTACATGGAAGGAAACAAGCTTGGAATGCAGAGGAAGGGTGTGATTATAGCTAGCAGGAGAAGTTCAAGTCTTCATGGAGGTGGTAACATTAGAAATTGACCTAGAACTATGGATATAATTATGGCCAGGAGGTGGAGAAGCGGGTATTCCAGTGCCCAGAGAACAGCATGGGCGAAGAAACCCAAGCCGGAAAGCCTGCGGCGTATTTGGAGCACTGTTTTGCTTTGGCTCTAGCAGGGAGGGCGCATGTTAAAGTTTGCGCTCCGCAAGGTCTTTTTCACATGAACTCTTTTGAAGCCAGATTTCTATGGTGTGATAAGCACGTTGGTTTTTTTAAAAATGTAGTGCAGAATTTTAAAACTATCCTTTTATTCAGTTAATTCTCAGTAATTATATCTCCTCTGTCCAACTGATGAGAATCTTTTACCATCTCAATTCTGCCAATCATTGTATTACCCCTCAATACCAGTTTGATGTCACTTTTATATGTATTAATAAAAACATATCTTTTATGAAAACTAGTAAAATATATTGCTGAGTGTTATATTAGATTGAACCTCATGAAATTGCCAGTGCACCAATATTTTCAGTTACTAAATATGGCAATTTCATATGATTCAGTCTAGTGGCTGTAACACATTATATCGGTCAGCGTAACCTTAATAATGGAAGTAAGTTAGTTTGGCTCACCTGTCCTTAGGGAACCATTCTTCCTCTGCTTTGTTTCTTTATCACTAACCATTGATTTAAAAAATCTGTACTAGTGTATTACTAGGGAGCAGGAAATACACATAGTCTTCACATTTCTTACAGTTGATTTATGTCTCTAAATATTTTTCCCATTGCTTTGAGGAGCAAAATCTGATCTCGTTAATGGCTTTTTAAGCTCATGAAAAAGAAAATAAGTTTAGCTACAATAATAAAAATAGCTTCTTAGTTATAAAATCTATTGAGATGGAACAGAGGAGACTTCAATTTTGCTAATAACCACGTTGTCAACTTGATTTCAGACCTAGTAAATACTTGAAATAGCTGATTTGTAAAATGTAGTGTTAAAAAAATCTAACTCATTGACTTTTTAAAGGTATGTAAAATTATCAAATAAATTCATAATGTTGGATATTAACTATATAATAATAACTTCTTTCTAGAACCTCCCTTCTGGATCATCTCGTGTTGGAGCCATTAAACTTACCTACATTTCAAAGGTAGTCTTTCTATATTGAATTACATTTATGCCTGAATTAAAATCTCTTAGAATGGGAGTGTGAATAAAAGGAGCATATTTCCTTTCTGTGTCATTTAATGATGATGTTCAGGTTCATGTCATGCTGGAAGTAGTACATGATTACCACGTGTAAGATGTTCTTGGTTAAAAATTAGGGAGAATATGGAATTAACTTAAGGATGTAACACACTGCAAAAGTTAACATTAACTTTTATGGTGAGGTATGTGAACATCAAAAGGGGAGAAATCCGTTAACTATTACGTTCTGTCTCTGGAAACGAAAAATATTTTTCTAAGCCTGTATTATATATTTTTAAACTGTTTACAATTTTTAAGTTCATTATCTTAACTTTTTATGTTTTATTTTGAGGAAAATATGAACCATCTTTATAATTAATTATTTTCCTCTCATTTCACTTTCGCTCTACTAATTTCTTTTGTTTGTTGATTTTTATGGCATTTTTGCAGCACTATTTTTCTTCTTAAAACTTTAGATTTGGCATTGTCAGGTAGTTTTTCTCCTGTGGGTTTTTTGTGTTTTACACCAAGTAATACGTTTGTTGATGGCATAGGATATGAGATGTGAACAGTAGCAACATAATATGATTAAGAAATACGCAAGTGCTCGCTATTATGCATATACTGGAATTTGTTAGCAGAGGTCTTCAACAGACCAGTTTACAAGTGTGTCTGTTTAAAAGATATTTTTATAAATAAAATACTTTGTTATCAATATAACAATAGAGCTATTCATTCTCATTGACCAAAAAAAAAAGTCCTTGAACAATAAAGATTAAAGAGAAACAGTTTATGTTAAAGCCATATAATGTAAATTGATGAAGACAAATACCGTTTAGGTTTTACCTTGAGTGTTCCTGTAAATTAAAACATTTAATAAATGCTTCAGGGTAGCTTGCACCTTAAATTCTGTAGAGACTAGGACGAGGAAACACTGAATTCCATGGTCACATCGTTCTAGAGCCTCCGTTTGGTTCGTTGTGTGCGGTGCACGAGCATGGGAGTGGAACCATGCTGCCGCATTTTTGACTCAGTGGAGTGATGTGGAAAGGCCTATTTTACTGAAATAGTCAGTTGATGGAGAGATGGCCCAACTGCTTGTGTCTTTTTGAAAATGGGAGCTCTTTCTATTTATTTTTTTCAAAGTGGTTTTTATTTTTTACCTCTATATTGGCACTTTATTTGTACTTGATTTTAATCAAAGCTTGCTTTCTGTTTTTTAATTTTTATTTTTTTTCAATTACAGTTAACATTCAATATTATTTTGTGTTGATTTCAGGTGAAAAAAATGGGAGCTCTTTTTAATAAAAACTATGAACTAAGCCAGCAGGCTGACTGGCCAGCTGCTTTCCTTTCCTCCATCGCTTCCCTTTTAAAATGTAACCTTCTCCGTGTAGTTCTGTTAACTTTCATCTCTGTCCACAGCTTACGGAAGTTTGAATGGTACAATTTGTACTCACTTTAGGCATGCCGCTTTTTTCCCCAGAATTTATTTCTGGAACAAATTTCAGTGTGACTCAGAGCTGTGAATTTATAGTTGGGATCAGTCAGGAACCTTAGAATTCTTTTTGAAAGTACAAACAGATGCTACAATTATAAGTTCTAACACTGGTCAGCAGCATGGCAATAGTCATGAATGAGCTTCCAAGACAGCTACTTTCCTTAAAGGGACAGCAGCAAGCAGGTACAGTTCGTTGCTTCACTCTCTAAGAGGAACTGTGTGCTCCATTTAGTAAAGAGACCCCTTTTTCTAATGTACAGCTTTGACTTCCTTGCTGTAGATTAATGCCTCCTGGATCACACGCACTCTCCTTTGCCCACCATCATTTTCTCTGAAATGCACAGCTAGTTTAGAAATATGTACTTGGGGAAGAATTCATAGTTTTGTAGACTATTCATTGAGGGCATTTTGAAAAGTGTGTTAAACTAAAAATATTTATGTGTGACATAAAACATAATAGTTTACTTTTAACTTTTTCATATTTCCTTTGGAAAAAAACAAGTTTGTTCAAAGAGAACATAGAAGTATCATTTGTTGTAAACAGCTTTCTATTGGGACCAATATCCGGTATTTAATTTGCGGTGCTTTTTCAGCTGTCTTTAAAGTTTACTTTTAGATCTCTGTGCTAGGTGTGTATGATTGTTGGGGCAGCATATGCATGGAAGTTTGCACAGTATTTAAGGCTGGTTGTTGTCTCATCTGAAGAAATGAGTGATTCATATCTCTTTCTTGTTAGGTTAGCGATGCAACTAAGCTAAGGCCAAAGGCTGAGTTCTGTTTTGGTAAGTAGCCATATTTTATATGTTAGTGATTTTAAGTTAGACTTACATAATTACATGTATTGTAAAAGAAAACAGTCGCCAAAAACCACACAACGCAAACCTAAGGGCTAATGAATTATCCTAAGGCAGATTCCCTTGAAACCTCCATCCAGGTGAAGAACTAAAACTACTGCTTACCCATGAAGCCTTTGTGTCTCACCCCAGTCAAAACCTCTGCTCTCTGCCAATGTGTAATCATTACCTAGGTCTTTATAGTGATCACATCCAGCGAGGCTTGAGGAAATGTTTTTACTTTCTACCTTGTATAGAGTAGTAGGAAGCAATTGCTGCCCTTCACACTGTCACAGGCTGGTTGTCTCACGGGCCCGTGCAGTACCAGGTAATTATTGCAAGTATCACAGTCAGCTAAAGGGGTGTACAGTCTATTCAAGATGCACGAAGGAAGAACTTCAAATCCTTACTGGGCGTCTTGGGAGCCAGGGGAGCCTCACTGAAGGAGGAAAGCCTTGAGTTGGTGGCTGGCTAACCATGATTATCCTTTACCATTGGTGAGAAAAAGGGGGAGGACCTCACTGACAGAGTTGTGCAGGGGACAGGAGCAGGGTGTGCGCGAGGAACTGAGAGCTCAGGGAAGCTGGAGGGAATGGTGCGTCGAAAACGTGGACGTGCAGGCAGAAGTCAGGGCATGCTATGCTGTTGACTGGGATTGGTTTTTTTTTTTTAAATAAGAGGTAAGACGTTAGCATCTAGAAAGTACTCATCAGGCAAAGGAAGGTTTTTATGTTTTTGTATGGATAAGAGAGTTTTGATGCAGGTAGATGAGTTAAGTGGCTTTCAAGCTGTGATCCTTATGTAGGGGTTGGAACTGGGGTGGTAGCAGTGGGGGAGAAAGGGAGGATGGAGAACTGTAGGAGGAGACGTGCAGGGACTTGTGACTGGCTGTATGGGCGTTGAGGGGACAAGAGGAATCAGGTAGATTTGCTTCAAGTAAAGAAGTGAGGGATCCAGCAGAGTGATTGATCAGTAGGGTAAAATGTTTGTTAAGGGGTTTGAAATGGTGGGAAAGAGCCAGATGGAAATGTTCTGGTGACAGTAGTTCAGGGACTGGATGGAGCTTGAGGATGAAGAATAGAGACATTTGGAATCTGTTTAAATCGTGGGTGAGAGTTGAAGCTCGGAGAATTGATGTGCTCTCCGAGAGTATGTTAGTGGATATTAGTGATGGAAGGGACAAAAATTAGGAATGGCCTGCTGGCATCAAAAGGGATTGTTTTACATTAAAGCGCAAATACTTTTTGGGATAGGATTGAGGTTAAAGTTCTCTGTTCTCTTTTGCTTGGGAAGAGCAGGTTTGTTCAGGAGACAGCATGTTAGGCAAAGCGTCTAATGGCAGTCGTATGTATCCGACAATGAAACGGGACATGAACAGGATGCAGTATAGCAGGGCAGAGGATGTTTTTATCACGACTAAGGAACTAAAAAATGGTACGTGTTTCTTACAGATGTATAATTCAGTTATTAAATAGGAAAATATGTCAGAGACTTGTGAATGAAAGGCCACTGGGAGCAAGTCAAGCAACAGAACTTTGTATTTTAGAATGTGTAATACACATACTTCTGAAGGGTCTTTTTAATGTGAAATCTCAAACCTACAGTTTGAAGGAATTGGAATATGCAGTAATAGATTTGACGTCAGTTATTGGGACATTTAAAATGGGTGATTTTAGTTGGGATCAAAGATTACTTATTTATGGGTCTGCTAGTAAAGATTCATGTATTGCTTGCCTTTGGAGAGGGAGGCCCTGGCTTCTAAAATGGAACCACAACTTCTATTAAAAATGGCAACATGAAGACTGTTCCACCACTATGTCTCTGTCCTCCCAAATTTCCCAGAATAGTCAGAACAAGAACCACTCAAACCATCTTCGATGAGACCAGCAGACATCTATAACCCGCAGTGTATGAAGATGGAGAGTGAGCGGTAAATACCTTGGCGGAGGAGAGACCAGTGAGAAGCTAGCTTTCTCAGTGTGCTGCGCACACGCCCACCTCTGGATGGCCTTGGGAAACAGCAGCAAGGAGGGGCCAGAAAAAGGATTTACAACCTCTAGTCCCCTACATCTATCTGGCTCAGTCTGGCAGCCACCCTTCCCCAACCCCAGCAAGAAATGGCGTTTGTATTATCTCCAGAAATAGGATCATTGAGGCTCAGTGCTTGAGGGTACTAGTCCCAGAGAAGGGGAGAGATGAGGTATGAAACTGAAAACAGGTTTACACAGAAGCCTGCCCACTACGTAGCTCCAGAGGGCTCGGCTGCCAGACGTGGGTGGGGTGCTCTAGAGAAGGGAGCCACGGGCACCGCCCTCTGCACGTTTCTGCTGGAAGAGCTTGTTGTCCAGCTAAGTCCACCAGCCAGCAACCCTGCGTGTATTTGGGAGAGCCTCCAGGGCCTGGTTTTGAAATATGGACAGACAGCCCAGGATTATGTGACTTTTGAGGAGGGAGAACCAACTGTCAAATAGAAAAAGGAATGCGAGACAATGCAAAACTCAGGGGAAAAGTCAGAAAAACCTGAAAGTAGAACAAAGACAAAAATAGATCATAGGAGGGAAATAAGAAAATTAGAAGTTCCATTAAGGAAGTTGACCATCTGACTAATAGGGAAAGAATGGAGGGAATAGAGAAAATTGACAACTAATACAATAAAGTGTCTCATAATTTATTTGACCCATATTTGAACCACAAGCAACTGATCCTAGATTGTGAGATGGTGGTTGTTTGCAGTCAAGCTGATATTTGTGCTTCATGTTTTATTCTTATGATATACTTACTCCCATGGCAAAGATTTGAAATGAAATAAAGAAGTGCTTGGTGAAAAGGTAGTAGAAACACAGGCCTCTGGGGTCATTATACACGATTAAACCCTTGCTTTGAAAGCCAAACAACTTAGAGGTCTCATGCAGTTGTTTTTGTTGTTGTTATTCAAAGTTTCATTTCTTCCTTTTCCTGTGCCCCTCCCCAGACATGGCTAATATGACACTTTTTGGTAATTTGCTTAAAGTGTTTCAAGATGCTTTCTTTTTTTAAAAGATTTTATTTCTTTTTAGAGAGAGGGGAAGGGAGGGAGAAAGAGAGGGAGGGAAACATCAAAGTGTGGTTGCCTCTCATGCACCCCCTGACTGGGGACCTGGTCCACAACCGAGTCTTGTGTCCTGACTGGGAATCAAACCTGCAACCCCCTGGGTCATAGGCTGGCACCCAGTCCATTGAGCCATACCAGCCAGGGCTCAAGATGCTTTCCTACTTGGAAATCTCTAGATGATGGTAATGACAAAGAAGAAGGTCTGTTTTGTCCCAAGCACTGTGCTGGCTTCTTTACATACGTCACCTCCATCCTTCAAGGAAGGGATGGGAGGTATTCCATTTCATAGAGGAGAAAAAAGGGGGTCAGAGAGATTAAATACTTTTATGAGATGATATTGCTAGTAGATGCGTGAGCTAGTCAGGTCTGACTGACTCCAAGCTCTGGTTTTCTAACCCCCCTCCTTTCACTGTGTTCCCTTCTGCCATGAAAATAATATTTAGGGCACAGAGATCTTTATTCAGACTGCAAGGTGTGCTAAGCATGTTTTTAGAGTACCATTTGCCTCTCTTCTCCCCTTAAAAGTTCTTACATAAAAGTTACTCATTCAAAAAGGTATGTATTAAGCACTTACTTTGTAGCAGGTATAGTGCTTAGAGTTTCAGGTTCTTTAGGTGTTCTGGGCAGATGCCTAAAACAGTATTTTTAAAATATATTTTAGAATATTCTATTTATTATTTTTTTAGAGAAAGGGGAAGGGAGGGAGAAAGAAAGGGAGAGAAACATCGATGTGTGAGAGAAACATCGATTGGTTGCCTCTTGCATGCTGGCCCACAACCCAGGCATGTGCCCTGACCCAGAATAGACCCAGCGCTCAATCCCCTGCGTCACACCATCCAGGATGCAAAACAGTTTTGAGAAGAAGAAACCATTATGAGGAGAGCTCAGCTTCAGCCTAAATTAGAAAAAGATCATGAAATGATGCTTTAATGATTGTTAGAAATTAAAAACATAAGTTAAATATTGACATTGTCCCCGTGAATTACTAATTTGTCATCATTTATATCTGTGGCATTTGTAATTTTTGCAGTCTCTGGTAAGACATAAAAGAACTGGTTTACAGTGTTGTAGATTTTTGTTTCCAGACCAGTTGTTTTATAGCACTTCACAAGAAATGATTTGATTTCCTAGGACCTTCCTCTCAATTCAAGAGAAAGCTCCCGCTTAGTGTCTGGACCTCAGTTAAGGTCGGCTTCGGTTTCAGAACCGTGTGCCCCTGAGAAGCGGCTTTCCCTGTGATGGCCTTCACTGTCCCCCTTCCTTGTCACAGTGAACTGAGTGCTGCAACACCATTTCACATTTTGAGGGGGACTTCTGGAAGTTAGGCTTATGTTTCAGAAATCGTAACAGTAGCTATTCAGATGCCTTAGCTCCTAGAATAATGCTTGGTTTTTAAAGATGCACATGATACCTACTTATTAAGCTTTAATATAAGAGTTGAGTATGGTAGTTCTTAGACAACTGTATAGGCAGAGGTGGTCTTTACTTTAGTCACTAAAGGGACATATATAAATTTAATTGCATAAAAGTTCCAAATGTATTAATTTTAATTATGAAGAAAATATACAAGCACTGGAAAGATAAAGATGTTTATTTTTATATAATCTTGGGGAGATTTTAAAAATATGATATGAAAGCTAGAGTCATTAAAGAAAAGATTGATAAAATATTTCTGTTTGATAAAAAATACCATGAACAATGAAAAGAAAAATGACACTCTGGATAAAGTACTTGAAATAAAACAGAAAAGGTTAATATAAAAGCTCTTATAAATCAATAAACAGTAAATGAACAACTCAGGGAAATACAAGTAAGGAAAATACACAAAGCTCACAAAACCAATACATATAGCCAATAAACATATAAAACTAACTTGTCTCAACTATCAGTGAAATTCGAATTTATTTTTAAATTTTCATTTTAATTGAATTTACTGGTGTTAGAATTCTATAATTCACCATCTGTATATTGTAGTGTGTGGTCACCACCCCAAATGGAGTCTCTTTCTGTCACCATTTATCCCCTCTTCACCATCTCCTGCCTTCCCGCCCCAACCCAAAATTCAAATTTAAGTAAGGTATAATTATTCGCCCATTGGGTAACCCGAGAGTGCGGAAGCAGGTAGGGTCCCAGCAGGAAAACCCGAGACACCAGGTATTTCAAACCCTGGCGATTTGTCATAGGGTGTTAGTTACTCAGCTGTAGGAAGGCTGAGAGAGCGTAGAAGGAATGCTGAAGTGACCCACAGCTTAGAAGTTGCTTGAAGCAGCTGCCACCCCCAGGGTTGCGTGGGAGAGAGGTAGCTTCCCCAGAACCTTTGGAGGAGTGGCCACTGCAGGCTCGTGATTGACATCTGCTGCTGGGACTGCGAGGCTGCAGTAAGGCGCACACCAGCTGGCTGTGCGCTGCTGCCCGGGCTGCTGCTCCTTCTTGAGGCGCTTGGCAGCAGCAGCCCCCCCTCCTCATTTCCTGCCCACCTGTCAGTCTCCCGTCAGTACTTCCCCTTAGCAGGACCTGACCTGAGGAAGCAGGAAAGTCTAGGAAATGCTGTTTGCAGACTCCAGCCCCAGGGTGGCAAAGCCTTGAAGCTGCATACAAAGAGGTACCTAAGTAATGCAGGTGTTGGTAAGCAGTGCTGGTAAAGATGAAAGAGATCTTTTAAATTTATTTGTATTTACTGGCTTTAGAGAGAGGGGAAGAGGAGAGGGAAAGAGAGGAACATGGATTTGTTGTTCCACTTACTGATGCATTCATTGGTTACATTTCGTATATGCCCTGACTGGGGTTTGAACTTGCAACCTTAGTATATCAGAATGATGTTCTAACCAGCTGAGCTACCCAGCCAGGGAAAAGAGGTCTTCGCATATCATACACTTGGTAGGAGTGTAAAATAATTTGCCAATATCTATAAAAAAATTTTAATGGGAATTCTTTTTGATACAAGTCTATATTCAGAAATTTATCCTATAGAAATGCTAACCTAAGTATGGAGAAATGTATATATACGATGTTTCATTGGGCTATTTTATATAATTTCAAAAATTGGAAGAAGCCTAAATGTCTATCATTAGGGGATGGGCTAAATATATTGTGGTATTTTTGTTTAATGAAAAACGTGGCCAATATAAAAGAGTTTTACCTATGTTGAGTGGTAATAGCAGTATTATACGTGGTTTAACAGTTTGTCAAATCTGACGGAGTCACAGTTTTGAACCTAGCATGGTTTTTTAACTCCTATAAACATAAACTTAGAGGTAACAAGTGCAAAATTTCGTGTGTTGTATATTTTTTCTCTTTCAACAGTTATGAATGCAGGGATGAGGAAGTATTTCCTACAAGCTAATGATCAGCAAGACCTAGTAGAATGGGTAAATGTGTTGAACAAAGCTATAAAAATCACAGTAAGTATTTGTATTTTAACAGTTTTAATGTCTGGATGTAATCTCTACATTTTGAAAATACACCTACTGAATAATAACTGAATTACTAATAGGTTGCATATTCACATTTTATTTGAGACAGGGGTTTATAATGTGAATAAATGCCTATTTAACCCATTCTGTGTTACTGTAGACTGTAGCCGCTGCTTGTAATGTGTCTAGGGGAAGTTGCATGGGAGAGTTCTACCTCGGGGACAAGTCTTTTTCTGTCCGAGTGAGAGGCTCCCTGCCACGCACCCGGGTAATGGCAGTAGGCTGTCCAGTCTTCTGCGTGACTGGGAGTGCTGTTAGGCAGGAGCTGGGGTTGGGGCTGAGGTGGGCTACAGGAGTGGGAGCTGACCTGAGGAGCTGCGGCAGCCAGAGGCTTCTGCCCTCGTGGCCCTTGCGTGGCTTGTGTTAGGCTCTAAACCTCTTCCCACACCCACCTTTTCCGCTCGCATTCCAGAGCTTGCTACTCTCGCACTCCTTGTCTGTGCTGTAGCATCTGCTTCCAACCTGGGCTTCTCTTTCTGGTTTTCTCGTGGACATTAGTGTGTATTGATTATTTACAGCGTGCCAGGCCTTGCACTGAAGGCTTACCTAAGTCATGTGGGGATGTGAGGCTTAGAAGGATTGAATCACTTTTGCAGGTGTCATAGCTGGTAAGCGGGGGAGCTGTGAGCCAAACCCAGTCTGCGTGACTGGAGCCTCACTCGGGAGCACGGGCGCCATACTGCTCTCTGAGAAGGCGCCCTTCCCTTCCTCTGTTCCTGAAGCAACAACAGACTTTTGAGAGAGCACTTACAACTGATGCTAAGCAAGGAAATAGGTTATACTAACCAGTATCTTTCCTCCCTGCACAATGGTAGAGGAGCACATAGTAGGCCCACATGGAAAGGGTGAGGGAGGAATTCCTGTGTGAACCTGTGTATTTTTACTGAACTACAGTTATTTTACTGACCCCAAACAACTTACTCTCAAAAAACATATGCCCTTAAAGTCAGCATATGTTAGATTCCATATTTACATCACAACACAATAAAGAGTTAATGTAACTAAAGCTGTTCTCAGAGTTAGGTTGAAATTTTTTGTCTTGCACGAGAACAGCTTGTTACCACATGACAGAAGACACCCACGCACTGCATCTGATCTGTACACGAAGCCGAAGTTATTTTAGGTTTGTGCACTTTCAAGAAAGCAAATTTTTAACTGATTCAGAGTACAAATTCTTAAAAAGTTGTCACTGACTTTTATAAAAATTTTTTAAAAATATTTATTTTTAGAGGGAGGGAGAAAGAGAGGGAGAGAAACATAGATTGGTTACTCTCACACGGGCCCCAACTAGGGACCAAACCAGCAACCCAGGCCTGTGCCCTGCCCCGGAATTCAACCCTCGAACTTTCTTTTTGTGGGATGACGCCCACCCAACAGGGGTTGTTTTTAACTCTTCTGATAAATCTTCCCTACTTGGGAAATTTCCTTAGAGAGACCATATCTAGTAACTTTACTGAATTCATTTTTTACAATTTGCAGTAATAAGCAGCACAGGTTTCCTAGTGCTTTAAGAGACAAAGTACTGAATAGTCTCAAGCTTTTCACCCTCTGAATTAGTAGCATAAGGCAGTGAAACCGGGCTTGCCTTTGATAACGTGCTGTCTGTCTAGTGAGTCACTTCTCGGGTTCTCATTAGTCAGCTGGCTTTCTTTTCCCTGTCCTAAAAATGTTTATTGTAATGGCTGAATTTAAACTGAATGTTTTAGAATCATTAAGAAAGTTACTATATCTGTAGGTATTTTGCTTGTGTTTTTATTTTTCTTAAGGGAGATGATTATAATTTAGTTGATTTTTAATTATAAAATGCAATTCTGAGTTAATTCTTGAATTCTAACCTTGGAATTATGCCATGTTTAGCAGTCTAAGGATACATTAGAGGCAGTAGGCTTAATGACATAGGTTAGGACTTAATATACTGTCATTTCTAAAAGGGAAATGGAGAAAACAATATAAATTTCGGTGTATTTTTAGGAGGATATTACAGGTTTTTCTTAGGAAATTCTTATGATGGCTAAGCTCTCAGCTTCTTGAAAGAGGGAGTAACTACTTCTATGGGTCGCCTCGAAGCAGCACATTTCAATGAGGTAGTTGAGGAAATTCTCTCTCTAGTTTCACATTCTCTTAATGCTATTTTCTGTTTTTAATGGGATAACTTAGCCACATTTTCTCAGTCAAAATAATTTAAATACATGGTGCTGTTCATTAGAAAACACTGTGGCCTTCCATAGTGAATTGCTTCTGGGAATCGAGTCCCGCAGACCTTTCACTCTTAAGGATTTATGTGAATCTTGTCCAGTGAAATTTGTCCTCGGTCGTACTGCCTTTAAAAAGCACTCCAAAAGGCGCAGCCCCATCCCCTCCAGCATGCGCTTCCTTCCTCCCCTTCCCTCGCTCTCCCGGTTTCTGCCAGCGACCGGCATTGTTCTGCAGATGCAGGGGAGAGGGGGGCAGCCGGGCTCGAGGTGGGAGGAGAAGGTGGAGAGAGGGAGTTTCAGAATCCCCCGAGACAGATTCCTTGTGTCCATAGATTACCTGTATGTGGATTGGGATCGGCTAGAGTGAACATACACCGGGTTTGCCCGATATTTTGCAGAAAGGTGCTTTGTAAAGCCTGGTCTGCAAACACCGTTGTGCACCTGGTCTTCCCCAGACCCGGTGGGAGTGGCGCCATGAAAGAGCACAGAGCTTAGAGCAGTGTTTCGGAGTGTGGTTTTTGAAACACCCACCTCAAAAATATCTGGTGTTTTTGCTTAAAGTGCATTTTTGTGGACTACACTGTAGATTTAGTGAATCAGAATTTCTGGGTATGGAGCTGGGAATCTGAGATTTTTCATAATGTTTCTGGGGGATACTTCACACACCATAAAACTTGAGAAACCACATTGCTTCGGAATCATAATAAATGGTTTGTTTGGGTCTTTGAATGCAGTGTGAATGGTGTCCCCTGTAGCTGTGCCAGCACCTTGTTAGCAGGATTAACTGTGTGGCAGACAAGCTATTTAATTTTAAATTACATGTTTTTACACCTTTACCCCTGTGCTTGTTGGTACTGGTTGTCATAATTTTTGTGATAGATTGCAGGGTCCTCAGGTGCCCTTTAAATCATTGGCGAGAGATTAAATATCATGTCAACATCATAATTGGTGCTGAGCACGTTACCCAAACCTTAAAAATTTATAATTCAAATACACACTACATGAAACAGTTCATTGACAGAAATAGTAATTAACCAAGTACCTTACTCCCTGATGAGGCCATGTAAGAGAAACTAAAATGTATGTTAAACATGTGTAATGCTTTTGATTCCACTAGTGAGGTGTTTGTATATGAAATTCACATGTTAACAGTCATTGTTTATTCTTGTGAGTGATTTATCATTGATACAGGTGTTGGAATTCTTTTTTAAAATTCCTAATAGATTTCAAGTTATTTTGAACATTTTGACTTTTTAAGTATTTTATTCTTTTTTCCCTGCTTTTAGATTCATCTGTTGAGTCAGTCTTCCAACATTTATTAATACTCAGTATGTGTTCACTGTCCTAAAGCTAGTGCTGCTGAATATACCACCATCCCTGACTTCAGGGACACGGCCAAGTCGTGGGTAGGAAGGAAGGGAAGGAAAAGATAATAGCACAGAGCTACAGTACAATGTTAAGTGCTCTAATAAACAGGTATAATATGGTGGTTGAGTGCGGACGGCAGTTACACAAACTTAGCTGGAATGTCAGGTGTTCCCTAATGCCTCTGAGCCTGTTGTTTTACTGCTACAATGAGATTTGCCCTATGCCTAGGGTTGGATAGGAGGATGAAATGAGAAAAATGTATGAAATAGTACCTACCCTACTAAGCACTCTGTAAATTATGGCTGTATTATAAACATTATTGTAACTGAAAATGTGTAGGATGAGAACCTAAAGTGTTACGTACACATACACTATCAATAACTTTTATATGTTAAGTTTATGTAAATAGACTACACTGAAACTTCTGTGATACAGGAGGGTATCATATGTAATATTGGTTGCAAAACCATCCATTTAACTTACTATATCAGGTACCAAAGCAGCCAGACTCACAGCCTCATTCTGAAAACCTGAGTCGCCAAGGCGAGTGTGGGAAGAAGCAGGTGTCTTACAGGACTGACATTGTTGGTGGTGTGCCCATCATTACTCCAACTCAGGTAATAGGTTAATTCTTCTATTATGTGTTGGTTTCGTTTCTGTATATTGGTTTCAATATTATCGAAACAAAAACAATGTCTTCTGAATTAATACAGTACAGTAGTCAGTTAACACGAAAAACTTACGTATTTGTTTCCTATTTCAAAAGAGTTTATTGTAAAAAAATTTAGAAATCACAGATAAACAACACTTCATGTTTCATGTTTTCTCTGAGCCTTTCTTCTGTGTACTTTTACCCCCAGAAATGGAGATACAGTCGAACCTTAAACAACACAGGTTTGAACTGCATGGGTCCACCTGTACACAGATTTTGTTTCAATAGATCCCTGTGCTGTTTTCCATCCACGGGTGGGAGTCCATGGACGCAGAGGGCTGCCTGCCTGCATTGATCTGCACCATTTCATGGAGGGGACTTGAGCATCCGTGGATTTTGGTATATGCAGGGGTTCGTGGAACCAACGCCTTGCAGATACTGAGGGACAACAACTAAATTTTTGTGTGTCTCTAGCCCCCATCTTATTCAAGGGTCAGCTGTATTTTGTAAACAGCTTTTTTCACTTAGATCTCAAACATTTTTCAAGTCATCAAAAATTATTCTTCACTTTTTTTTTTTTAAGAGAGCAGGGAAAGGAGGGAGAGAGGGAGAGAAACATCAGTGGGAGAGAGATACATCTATTGGGTGCCTCCCACACGCCCTCGACTGGGACCCAAACCTGCAGCCCACCTGACCTGAATCGAACTGGTGACCCTTCTCTTTGCAGAAGGGCGCTCAGCCGCCTGGGCCACACTGGTCAGGGCCCCGGTGTCCCTTTTGATAATGTGTTGTAGTTACGGCTTTCCTGTTTGGGGGCACCTGTTTGAAGGGGACTGAGGACTCTACATCTTAAAAAATAACTTTCTGTGTATCTATATAATTAAATCAAGACACAAAATTAAACCTTTACCTCTGCCCCTAGAGCACTGGTGGCAGGACTTCTGCAGAACAAGAGAAATAAAACCTGTGATGTAATCAGTGATGGGAAAGTTAGGATTAAGTATCTCAAATTAATACTTTCGAATCTGTGCTCCTAACTTAAATAAAGTTTAAGATTTCTACTAGGGTAACAACATGACCTACCTACCAGTGTGTCTTTTTTTTACTTTAAATTAAAAAAATTTTATCAATTCCAGTTTGCATTCAGCACTACTTTGTATCAGCCTCAGGTGTACAGTGCAGCGGTTAGCTGTGCACTTTATCAGGTATTCCCCGATACTTCCCAGCGCCCACCGGGCACCACGCGTGGTTATTACGGTATCATGACTGCATCCCCCATGCTGTACTACAAGTGTGCTTTGAAGCTAAACACACAAGAAAAGAATTTATTTATTTTTTGCTTCGTTTCAGAAAGAAGAAGTAAATGACTGTGCTGAAAGTATAGACAGGAACAATTTGAAGCGGTCACAGAGCCATCTTCCTTACTTTGCTCCCAAACCGCCTTCAGACGGTGCGATTATCAAAGCGGGATACTGTGTGAAACAAGGAGCAGTGGTGCGTAGCTTACGGAAACGTGCGCCTAAGGAAGAATGGGTGCTCATTAGCAGCCTCAGCGTGCGAATTGCTCATTTTGTGAAAGACCCAAAGCGAGAGATGCACATGCTGAGGAGCCAGGGGGTGGGATAAGGGCTATTCTGTGTTCATAACTCAGTGCTGTTATGTTCTCGGTCTGTGAACAGCTGGGTAAATTAATGCTTATTACCACTGACCTTCAGTTTTAAATGAGCTTCCTAACAGTTTTATTTATTTCACAACGTTTTTCTATTGATCTCCTCACCCCCCTTGGGAGTGGGTCAAGGAAAGAGCAGGAAGCCGACGGGGGTGGGGCGTGGGGCGTGGGGTGTGGAAGTCAGCCCAGGGCTCGATTTGATGTTGGGCTGACTTCAGTTGAAAGCTCTGTGACCTTGGGCTACTAACCTCTCAGCCTCTCAGTTTCTTTGAAGGAGAGCCATATTATAAAACATGCCAAAAAGGGTTTTTGAAAGGTGTAAACAAGAGAGCACTTAGCAAAGCACCTGGTCCTTAGTAAGTGCTATTACGGGTCAGCCCAGGTATTCTTACACAACCAGGTCTGTGATGGCGAACTGTAGGAAAAGCAAGTAAATCTACCAGTATTTCTAAGGTTCCAAAGTACCTTTCTAAAATGGAAGTCATCCTTTCTGTGTGAACTAAATCTTTAGAAATTTGTGAGAAAATAAACCTAAAGTTTTCAAATACAAGAAAGGAATCCTGTAAGTAAATAAATACTGAAAGCTTATCAGCAATTTCATTTTTCTTTCTTTTCTTAAAAAAAGACTTTATCTATTTATTTTTAGAGAGAGGGGAATGGAGGGAGGAAGAGTGGAAGAGAAACATCGATCAGGTTGCCTCTGGTGTGCCCCCAGCTGGGGACCTGGCCTGCAACCCAGGCACGTGTCCCGGCTGGAGTCAAACCGAGTCACACCCGGGACCTTTTGTCCACGGGACCACTCCCAGCCCACTGAGCCGCCCCAGCCAGGGCTACTGCCGGTTTCTTTGACTTCTCATGTCTTCTCATCAGCTTAGGTCAGCCAAGGGAAGGTTCTTTGGGTCCTAATTGCTTGACCTTCTTTAGGTTAGGGGAAATGAAGTCGAGGGCTGGAGGTTTCTCCCTCCACCACGCCTGCAGATCAAGTCAGAATTCTTCCAGGTGTGACTCGCTTGTATGTTAGGACTTTTAAGGAGATGTTCCTTTCTTTCTGTCATGTTTTTAAAAATTGATTTTAGAGAGAAAGAAACATGGATTTGTTGTTCCAGTTATTTACGCACTCATTGCCCTGACTGGGGATGGAACCTGCAGCCTTGGCACATTGGGAAGATGCTCCAACCACCTGAGCTGCCCGGCCAGGAGATGTTCCTCCCTTTGTGCTTTACCCTTAAGTCCAAAATACCACCCCTTAGAGATACTGAAGTGCTTTCAGAATGATATTTCATTGACAAAAAATGTTTGTACAGAGTAGGTTCACTTTTAAATATATTTATTGTTTTACTACTAAGTACAAGGTATTTATAGAAAGACTTGTGCATTTTATGAGTATAGATGGGGAAACTTGATGTGGTTTAATAACATTTCCTGTTCTTGCTCTTGAACTCTTGAGAGCATTTATTTTATGGGGGTTTGGGGTGAAGAAGATGGGGAGGTGCTTTCTTTTTTTAAACTTTTAGAGTATTAAAAATATGAAAGTAGATTATAAAATCATACGATAAAAGCTGAAAGTCAGCCACCAAGTTTGATTTAGGAGTTCAAGACCTAAGCAGCGAAAAAAAGGAAGTTTCATGTGTCTCATCATGGGAGGGTAGTGTTTTGAGTTTTTTCAGTGCTTGACATTTCCAATTGTGGGTTCATTTCAGAATAATTAAATGGTTATTAACATTTGACATTCTTAGAAACAGAAGTCTTATGTCTGTGTTCATCTCTGGTAGATGAAAAACTGGAAGAGAAGATATTTTCAGTTGGATGAAAACACAATAGGCTACTTCAAATCCGAACTGGTAGGTTGCTGTCATCAATGTTGCTTTTAAATGCTTAAGCAGTATTTCCCTGTGGTGATTTTTATATACGTATACATGTGATTTCTGCTCCTAGTTTCTATTTTTAAAATAATTAAAATTTGCTTTTGAGAGGTACATGCAATTCATTTTTTGTTGTGATGCTTTTGTCAATGGTATTTTTGTTAAGTATACCTTAAATGAAAAGATCATATCTCCCAAAAACATTCCATCTTGGAAGAATTAAAAATATCTACAAATTTCCTTAAAGGGACACTGAAGGAGGTGGTGGGAAGAATTAGGTCTCTAAAAGTTAACATTTAACCCTCTTTATTTCTGCCTTTCTTCCGTACCCTCTCTTCACATTTTGTTTTCCTATCAGATTCACTTTTAAGTTTCTTCATATAAGATAGGTTGTTCTGTCTCAAGGTAGAATCAAAGATTGACATTCCTCTTTCATTGGTTTGAGTAACATCCTTATTTAAAATATTCTTGTCACATGACCTGAGCTCTGCAATATAGCGTCAGATTCATTGCATGCAGCTCTCTACTTTATACATCTGGCCTACCTCACATTGTTTTATGGGACCTTTGTGGGAGAACCATAACCTTTATTTGAATGAGGGCCCAAGAACAGTGCTATGTGGTAGAGCTTTCTGCATGGATGGGAATGTTCTGTGTGAGCATTGGCCAGGTATACTGGCTACGTATGGTTGTTGGGCACTGGAAATATGGCTAGTGTGACTGAGGAATCTGGCTTTTATTTAATTTTAAAATTAAACCGGTTGTATTTAATACCTACAAATTTAAGTGTGTGCCTAGTGGTGCTGAATTGGGCAACAGAGCACTAGAGAATAGGAAGAGACTATTTTAAGATTCATTGCAGGCGTCTGTTCTTCTGGGAAGCTTCTAACTTGCATTAAGTGCTTCTCTTCACCCATTATGGTACCTGATTACCGTGTCTATCATAATACCTCTCATTCAGTTTTGTAATTGTGTGCATACTTGTCACGTAGGTAACTACAGGAGCTTCTTTAGAGCAGATTTTCTTTGCACCCGTCTATGAACACAGCTGCTAGTGCTTGGTAGATGATCATTAGGTATTTTTGAATGGATGAAAAACGACATAGCATTACAAGAATAGCCAGTTTAGCACGGGGGCCTTTCTCAGACTTCAAATTCTGAGGGTCTCAACTGGAAGTACCAGTCACTTGGTTCGAAAAGCACCAGCCTTGGTGTCTCTGGAGGCTACTCGTGTGCTTGGTTGGCAGGTTGATTCATTGCTTTTTTTAAAAAGAAAGATTTTATTTATTTATTTTTAGAGAGATGGGAAGGGAGGGAGAAAGAGAGGGGGAGAAACATTGATGTGTGAGAGATACATCAACTGGGTGCCTCTCACACGCCCCCAGCCGGGGACCTGGCCCACAACCCGGCGCGCGCTCTGACTGTGAGTCAAACCATCAACCCTTTGGTTCGCAGCGTCTTGCTCAGTCCACTGAGCCACATTGGCCGGGGCTGATGGATTGCTTTTCATTGATGCCAGTACTCTCGGGAAGGGTCATTCACACAGCACCCGTTCATGGAGCTCTCCACGGCCCTGGTGCACTGTTCAGGGAACTGGGAATCAAAGCCAGTCAGCAATATTCTGGCCTTCGGGACTTCAGTTTTGCTGGAGAAATTGACATGAACCCCTGTCACGGTAATTATAATGAAGCAAGAGCTATTAAAGAAATACATATTAAATTTTGAAAACCTGCATATGGACATTATGCTATAAAATCTGAGACAATACTGAACTATCACTGGATTTAGGGAAATGTATAATTTAGGAATGTGTTAACTAGAAAACACAGATAAAACTGAAAACACTGTGTATATTTATAATTATTGATCTTTATCAGTTACTAAGATGCACATTTCAACTTTTCTGAAATCTTAGGTGTCTTAGAGTTGCAAGTGAGGAGCAGTCAGGAAGCAGCTGTGCTCCAGTTGTCACTGTTTGCCTGTGCACAGCATCCTGGGTAAGACCCAGAAGACAGCATCTAAACCTCCAGAAAGGGGGCTGGCAGCTTGGAAGAAAATCTCAGGGGCCCAATGAAATATTCTTAAGAGAGGCTGCATCATCAGCTCTCCTTTAGGCCCAGAGAATGGCATGGAGTGAAAACCGGCGAGGTTGATGGCCCCTACTCAGAGAGGTGGTCCAGGAGAGCGAGAATCTGGGTGTGAGGTCTTCAAGAGCCTTCGCCGATGTATAGTGCTTGCCTGTTTTTATGTATGCACAAGGATGATATATGATAAAAAGGGATGTTTTAAAGTATGAAAGGGCTTTTGGGAAAACCTTTTGATGTGGAAAAGTTTAAATATTAAGTAGATTGGACCCATCACTCAGATGTCGTAATTATCAACACATGGCTAGTTTTGTTTTTCTGTACCACCACCCATTTCTCCCTTCATGCTTTAAAGCAAGTCCTAGACACTATCATTTTACCTGTAAATATTTTAACATGTATCTCTAAAAGATAAGGATTTAAAAGTTTTTGTTTTTGTTTTAGTAAGTTTAAAAGATGTAAGTATACAACTGAAAACTGGAGAAAATATTTGTAGTATGTGTCAGAGATAAAACATTAATATCCCTAATATACAAGGACTGTCCGGGAAAAAGTCCAGCCATTGTTCATAGAATGGTTTGTGCGACAGTGATGTAACCTGGCAGCCAAGGAGAGGGGACTGGAATGTGCATGCGTGAACAATGACGACTTCACTGTGATAGTCAGTGGGGCGGTAGACGCCACTGAGTGAGCATGTGTGCTGTGCGGCCGTCACATTCAAAATGACTGAGTGAGTAGAGCAAAGAATCTGCATCAGATTTTGCGTTAAGCTTGCTCATTTTTCCGCGGAAACTATTCAGATAATTCAGAAGGTTTTCGGGGACGATGCAGTGAGTGCAGCACAAATAAAAGTGTGGCACAGATGCTTCAGAGATGATTGAGAATCTTTTAAAAGTGATCCATGTTCTGGAAGGCCTGTAACAAGCAGAACACCTGAGAATGTTGATGTGTATGGGTTCTAGGCTTCCTGAAGAAATGGCAAGATTTCCGAGCTGGGATGGGAGAAATAAGAATAAAATAATACTGGCATTTCTTACGTCAGAAAACAAGGAAATGCTTGCAGAATGATAGAGACATGTAATATGACCCAAAATCCAACTCGAAAACTTCCCCCCTCACCAAATTTGGGGCAATTTCAGCATTAAAATTAGTAACGACAGTAATAGATTATGGCCCAGTGAATAAAATAGGAATCCATGCATGCAGGCGGCATAAATGAGTGAGTGACTGTATGTATGTGTCTGATGATGATGGGGAGATGGCATAGCTTCAAAGTGCCGAAGTACAAAGTGGGGAAAGTAACGTTTCAGTGAGGAAGCCTGTCTGATACCACCCCGGTCAGGTGATCAAACGAATAAAGCGACCTTCATCAGTGATGAGATGAATTGAATTATTTTACCACCCGACAGGATAGCTTGAGAAGAATGCAGTGTCACTTTTGTGATAGTCCTGAATCTAATCAGGAGGAAACATCAGGCACAACCCCGAAGGGCCCTTCTTTAAAAGGACTGCCCTGTCATAGGCCAGTAGAATCTAGGCTCTGGGAGTCAAGGACAGAAGGGCTGACGGGAAGAAGGCCTGAGACAAGTAACTGCAGGGTGTGGTTCTGAATTCTTTAGCTTTCCTGAGAGACATTTGGGTGACACTTCTTGATTTTGGTGGTTGTATTGTGATATAAGGGGATTTCTTTGTAGGAAATACACACTAAAATATTAGGGTAGTAGGGGCCAGGCCAGCAACTCACTCAGAAATAGTTTAGGAAAGTCTGTTCTTTGTGCTGAGTTTTCAACTTTGTCTAAGTTAAGCTGTGGTTGATTCAAAATTTAAAAGAAACTTGGGGGAAAAATACCTGGTAGAATAATGAGCAAAAGACAGGAATAGACAGTTTATTTACAAAGAAGTGAAAATGGTCCTTAAACATATAAAAAGGTATTTCAACATCACTTGTAATTAGAGGAGCACAAATTTAAACAAACAAACAGCTACACCACTTCTCCTCTCAGGAGAATACCATTGCTGAGTGAGCAGATGGCACATCCTCTCCCCATTTTCACCGGGGGCCCTGGGGCTGCGGCTGGTTTCAGGGCTGGGGCTGGGAAGGGGCTGAACACGTTCAGAGCGTCTTATTCTGACAGACAATAAGGAAGTGGCTCAGAGAAGTGTTGGGGACTGTCAAAAGGACACCGAAGTTTCAGCTTGAAACTCAACTGGAGCCAGAAAATAAATGATAATGCTGGATTACAACTCATGGAGTCCAGCAAGTCATTAATAAATACATGGAGAAGGAAAAGCATTTTCTTAGGGTAAAATTCCAGCTAATGTATGTAGAAGAATTCATGGTGTTAAAAAGTCACTATTTGGTAGCCACTGTAGTAGTAGTGGTTTTAGTCAAGAATCCTCAATAGTCAATAAATCTAGAGGGCAAAATTATGATGGGAAACTGGGTATTACAGAGGTTTCAAGTACTTGCGCGCAAGGTATTTAATAATGACAAGGGGAAAGAGTCATTTCACAGCTGCTGGCAAGCATGACCTTAGCAAGAAGTCAGGGTTAACACCCTAGTGATGGGACAGGCCTCTGTCGTTCACCCTGAGAACGGTGCACTGAGAAGAACGCAGCCTCACATGGTGGTTTCCTGAGCAAACCGTACCGCCTGAATCTGAGCACCATGAACGTCAGAACCAAATGAAGGACGTTCTACAGAATCACTGGCCTGGCTTTTTAAAACTGTGAACATCAAGGAAGACTGAAAAACTATTCCACAGTAAAGGAAACTAAGACATGACAACTGTTAGAAAATGGAAGGTATGATGCCAGTCTGAATCCCAGATCAGAAAATGGCACAGTACATAGTTCTTTTCTTGTAAAGGATCCTGGTGTGTGGCAGTGAATGAAATCTGAACATGGTGTGTATTAGGTAACGGTATGGCATCAAAGTGGAGTTTCTGTTTTCCCCAGATGTCCTGTGGTTGTATAAGAGGACATCTTTTTTCAGAAACTACACACTAAGGTCTTCTAGTGGTAAAGATGTATCATATCTACAATGTGCCTTCCTACATTCAGAGGAAATACATACGCAGCACATTCACATATGTACACAATGATTTAGTGAGTATAAAGTATTAACATCTTGGTAAACGGTGCAAGGTATACAGAAATTTTTATGGTTTGAAATTATTTTAAAATGAACTATCTGTGAAACTTTAAAGAAGGATTTGTGATTTTAAAGAAGTGTTCAGCTGTGGTTTACTATTTTTCATAGTGCTTATAAAATAATGGCATGTCAATCTCATGTGATATTCAGTGAGATACAGTATATAGTATTTTATGGAGTGTATAGTATAAATATTATACTGTTAGGAACTAGATATGTCTTACATTTGTATCTTATATCTAGTTTTATAACTTTGGGTCAAGTACTTAACATGTCTCATCCTCAGTTTCCTCAGGTGCATGTATTGTAGAGTTTGGAAAGTTTAAGTGAGATAACATTTAAAATCTAGCAGATGTTCTGGCACTTAGTAAATGATCAGTAAATTGTGCTTGCTAAAATAATGTATTCATATAAAAATGTCATTCTTAAAATGATGCATTTAACTCAAAGTATTTGGGTATTCAGTACTCTGGTGCCTTCTGTATCAAAATAATATTCCAAAGAGGAAGTAGTCCACTTTACTAGGTTCATAGGGGCTGATCGGGATCTGATGGTTAATGGCTTATAATAGGCTACATTGTCATAGGGCCAGAAATCATGTGAACATGTGTTATATGCCAGCTTCCTTATTTCAAACCACAGTGTATGTAAATAAGGTTGTAGTATTTGAGCTCTTCTGATGCTGGATAGTTCACGAAGGTAGATTTATGTCTTAGATATGCTTTAAGAAAGAAGCATAATTTTCATGTAGCTCTCCAAATAAGACAACTAACTCCAAGGAATATAATGCACGTATCTGTTTGCCTTTTTCCCTCCAGGAAAAGGAACCTCTCCGCGTAATACCGCTTAAAGAGGTTCATAAAGTTCAGGAATGTAAGCAAAGGTAAGCACCGACACCGACGTGCGTGTTCTTCGTGTGTAACTACTGCACAGTAGTGCCTTAGTGTGACGGATGTGCTTTCCAACGCTATCTTCTGCATCCTAGTGTTATTTTTACCTTCTTACATGTAGCTGGGATATGCTAGAACTTTTAAAACACTCAAATTGAAGTATTGATTTTTTTTTTTTTGTTTGAAAACTAAAAATTAGGAAGCAACCCTTATGCTCATAATGGAAAGGAAAAGGCTATCAAATTTGACAGATCTCGATGTATTTGTGTTTTAGTATTTTCAGGTTGGTGCAGAATAGAGCTTTGTAAAAAAAATGGCAACTTCGTAGTGTTTGAGCAAACTGATTTCTTTGTGTGGAAAAACTTTGAATTTTAAAGTATTTCTATGACCCTTTTCTAACATCTATCTGTAACTATATAAAATAAGTAAAATTTAATGCAAAAATAAGTTGAAAAAGTTCATAATTTGGTTTTCTCAAATCAGTATTTTGTCTCTAATATTTACTTTCTATTTGTACATACTTGGTGTTGGGTAAATAAGTGAAAGAAAAACTATCAAACAACTGCTACTGCAGTACACTTGGAAATTTTTTCTTGTTAACAGTGACATAATGATGAGGGACAACCTCTTTGAAATTGTAACATCATCTCGAACTTTCTATGTGCAGGTAAGATACTTCTTTGAAGATTATAGATCCCCTTAACAAGAAATGAATAATTTTAGAGGTGAAGTAAAATTGTAGCGTATGAGAATAAGCAAAAAACATGACAGCTGTAATTCACCCAAAGATGTTATATAAGATTAGTGGTAGGTCATATGTTCAACAAATAAGGGTATTCTTTGCTATAAGTTAGTTGAATAGAATTAAGTAGTGTTTAGAGAAAGGGAAATGCTACTTTAACCTAGATGCTAAGTGTGTACTTTAAACTGGGATTATTTTTGCATGTATTTTGGAATTTTGATTGTATCGTTTTTGGTAATTTTATAAAAGGTGGGGGGCTTAAATAACCATAATAAAAGTAGACCGTAGATAGTAGAGTTTCACTAATGGTAGATAGACATCCTGTACGTACTTTTTACTTACCACATTAATTAGTTTGGAAATTTTTTTAAAAAATACATTTTTTTTTGTTCTTATAAAACTTAACATATGCTTGCTGCAGAAAATTTAGAAAATAAAAATATGATGAAAAGGGTAGTGTATAAAACACACAGAATCCCACATTCAGGCAACCATTCTTAATTTTTTATTGCCTTTCTTAAGGCATAAATTTTTATAACAAGTGGAGCCATATGAAACACCGTGTTATACCCTACTTATTTAATATGAGTTTTTTCTCTTCATCCTTAAAAATTCTTTGAAAACCTTTTAGAATTGTACTATATAATTGTGTGACTGTTCCACAATTAAACTGTCTACTTACTACTTTGTTACTGATTACTCACACAGTTTTCATACATTAACTGTGATAAATAATGCAGTGGTGAACACTTTTGCACCTAAATCTGCCTGAATTTCTTACTTCTGTAGGATGAGTTTGTAGAGCAAGAGTAACTATTACAGCATGAACTTTTTTAAACCTCTTTATTTTGCCAATTGATTTCTAGACATGTGCTCCTATTTGCAGTGAATGAAGGTGTATGCTTTACCTTTGCCTACTATTTTTCCTTTTAAAAAGTATTTCTAATACCATTGGTTCAAAAACACTGTCTTGTATTGTAAAATTTTTTGAACTAGATTCCATAATCTAGACATTAAGAGCAGCAGCATCTCTACTCCCCTCTTAGGGCCTAATTGGATTAAAGTCATTGTAAGGTTTTTAATTCACGTTGCCAGCCAAGGTCTTATCAAGGAATACACTTTAGACTATGACTGCCAATGCTTATTTAAGGATTATGGTACTCTAAGAAATGATTAGTATATTAATAATTAGTACTAATTATGGTACTACTAAGAAATTATTTCTAGAAAAATATGTAAAATGTCATAATCCTTTCTAACTATCCAATTATATAAGTAGTCTTGTGGCAAATTTAGACAATATAGCAGCAAATATAGATAGAGCAAAAATGATTTCTAAAATTTTTTTGAAACCATTGCCTTAGAATGATTTTTGTTGTTGACACTGTTACCAAAATGCATGCATTGGCGTTGTAGATACAGGAGCTGACTGCAAGGAAAAACTGACTGAGCCCTTTCTTTCCGCAGGCTGATAGTCCTGAAGAGATGCACAGTTGGATCAAAGCCGTCTCTGGTGCCATTGTCGCGCAGCGGGGACCCGGCCGATCAGCATCTTCTGTGCGTTGCCTGTTCCCTGGGGTGGTGCTCCCTTGGGCCTCCCCATCCTGTCAAGTTATTTTCCTTCCTCTCCCCTTAAGCCTCCTGGTTTCTTTCTGTATTGAGATTTATTTGCATGGTGACTTTCATACCAATTGGACTTGCAAGAAAAAATAATGCATTTCTAATTTAATGCTTCCTTGTAGTGTTATGTATACATAACTTTCTGTGCATTGTATTGTCTTAAATGCACAAGCAGGGCAACTAAAGAATGAACGTTTCCTTGCTTTGTTTCAGGAGTGCTTAGTTTGTCAGGAGGTCCAGATTTGGTATAAGGGGACCAATCCTTTGTGTAGTGTGTGGCCCGTTTGTATAAGGCACCTTCAGGTGTAGCGTTGCACTTTTGTGAACATCCCAGTTTCCTCTGCGTCCTGTCATTTCAGCTAAGGAGTTTTTTTGTTTTTGGCTTAATAGTGCCATAAGACATTGAGCAGCTGGAGCCTTAAATACAGCTGACTGCTCTCGGTCAATAAATATTTTCCATTTCACGTTTAATCCTCATTTCCTAGTCGATTAATTTAAAAGACTGCTTTTGTCTTAATTATCTTTGTGGTAGTATGGCATAAAATTGAAACAGCTAAACATTCTCAGAAATAGTAAGAAAAATGTTTTTAATTTTTAGTTTACTATGTTCAAGTACATTATAGGAATAAGATTTGCTTTTAGAATACTTTGGTCACTGGTCTCTGATGTGCAAATGTAAGTTCTACTAAGGAATGAAAAATGTTTAAGTGTCTTGAAATGCAGCACTTTGGACCACAGAATGGGGTCTGATATGTAGCATGATGACTTTTATTATCCAGATTCCTTGTGAATGCTCGATAATCTGTACTTTCAGTGTTTTCCTGGTAGTAATGTTGTCTTTTAATAGTTTCCTACTGTCAGTAACTACAGATCAGTAAATACAAATCCATCTTTCTCATTTTGAATTAAGTCATTCTCCTTATATTCTTTTTGAAATATCAGAAGTTCCTCTCCTGGGTGTTACTTCAGTAACTGCCTGCATTTTATATGACTTTTCAGCAGTCAAGTATGAGACTCTCTGCAAAAACAATGTCTGTTGGGAAGAGGACAAGTTGGAGAAGGGCGTTTGTGTTTTGTGCTTGTGGTGGGGGCAAAGTGGACTATCTAGCTGTGACTCTCAGCACTCCTTTCTCTTTCCTCCCTCTCCCCGGGACAGGTTAACTCTAATCTTAGCTTTGCACTGTGTTCCAGATGCGGCAGGCCAGAAGGCTGTCGAACCCTTGTATACAGAGGTATACATCAAGAACTGGTGAATGCGGCACGTATGTGGGCTCTTACGCAAACGTGCCTTCTTACTAGAGGGCCCGGACTCACTCACTACTTACCACTCATCCTAGAAAGTTGAGTTAATAAAACTGCCTTTTGCAGTTACCGTAACCGCGTCAACACTAACGCAAACTGTTTCACCATAGTCATCAGGTTGGAGATGTACTTAGAAAAAATAAGTAAAGAGTGAAAAAACAGAACTTTACTAACTGAAAAAGTCCTCTTAAACTGTCTTCTAAAAGTTAATTCACTGAATTGCCACAAGAGTTTCAATTTCTGCATTTTATGTATTTTGGAATTTTTTAATACTACACCACTTGAAATGCATCCTTGTTCTAATCTGTGCAAACTCATGCATGTAAGTGCATTGGGTAAACTCTACTGCAGTTTGTATGGCACTTTAAATCTCCGGTGAAGTTTAGCCATCTAAATTTGTCACATTGGTAAATTGTAGCACTTGTTTTCAAAACAACTGGTATCATAAATGAACACACTATACTGGGAACTACATAGCGATGCATTTGGAATGGTCATATTTAAAGTTATCTTCAGATTTGATACAGTTAGAAGCATACTGAAGTTAACATTCACAACTGATAATTATTTCACCATAGTTATAATAGGTGATTAAATTTGCGCCCTATGTTCCCTTTATAGTCTTAAGCCAAATGCATGTACGACATACTCAAGACTAAACAAGTGCAATTAAATAAAAAGCAAAGAGACTGTACTAGTGACTGCAGTGAAATTCAGGGAATGTATGACATCTAAAATATGTGGGACAATTCCTAGTGTTGATTTAAATAAACTTTTAAATAAAACAATAGCTGTAGGCCCCTTTTAAGCTCAGTTCAGTTGCAGTTGGACCACTGTATTCCATTTTAGGCTGACTGAGTCTCCAGAATGTCAGAGCTCCCAAACTCGGCTTTGGTGACAGAACTGGTTTCTTAGTGGAAACGGTTGTTGGCCGTCATCGCTTTAAACTCACTCCTAAAAGTGCTTTGCTTTGGGAAAGAACTTGCACATGTTTGCTGCATGGCTCGTGCTTCTGCTCTGTGTGTGTGTGTTTCGTTTCGTTTGTTTTTCAGAGAATAAAGTCTCACACTGAGTCACTAGCCCTGTCGTTTGTGATTGACCGTGCCTGACCACCGCCCCTCTTTGCAGGAGCATTCCGCCTGTCCCGAGCCCAAGCCCGCCCCCCGCCCTGCCGGGGCCGCCGCCGCCGCCTCGCACCCCGCAGCCTCTCGCAGCAGCTCTCTGGTCTCAAGCTTTACCGTGGAGAAGCGAGGATTTTACGAATCTCTTGCCAAGGTCAAGCCAGGGAACTTCAAGGTCCAGACTGTCTCTCCAAGAGAACCAGCTTCCAAAGTGACTGAACAAGCTCTGCTAAAACCTCAAAGTGAAAATGGCCCTCAGGAAAAAGATTGTGACCCAGTGGACTTGGACGACGCAAGCCTTCCAGTCAGCGACGTGTGAGGCGGAAGCACGTGGAGCCGACCCGCCGCCTCAGCCCCGCAGTGTCCTTTCATGAGGCTTCCTGCCAAAGATGATGGGGAGAGTGGCTTTTAATGCATACGTTATACTGCCTCGTAGATGTGCTCTTCATAAGCTGGTAAACCAAGGATCTCTGGAGTGGCCAAACGGAAAGTAATCTCTTTGTGAAAGAAAGAAAAGAAAGGAAGGAAAGAAATCCAAGTGTCTTAGTGTCAGTTGTCTCAAGTGTTGTGTGTTCTCATTTGGGCGATAAAAATGTGTGTGTGATGTTTTTTCCTAATCAATTTGACAATTTAAATGTTTATCAATTTAAAACATTAAAAATGCTTATTGCCATTTTTAAAATGCTACTATGACTTCCTATTAGATGGTTGACATTTACACATTCTTACTGGTTAATATTATTGAATGAATTATTACCAGACTGAAGTACCTAAACTCATGGTGTCTGTGGTGCTGTAGAATTTATACCACGATGTGGACTCTTTTGACACAATAACCATTTTTGATGCCCTAGATCTCAAGGAGAAGGGTACGTTTTGCATAGAGGATCTTACTGGACTGTTAGTGAGGGTTGTGTGTTTTACTGAGGTAGAGAAAAAGGGGAAATTAAGTTTTAAACAACTGTATCTTGGACATTTGTTTGAAAAAGGTTAAATAAGACTTGCAGTTATTAACGCTTTATTCAGTGAAAATTACTTGGTGTGAAATTTCTGGAGGATCTGATTTTCTTATGAAAGTTTTGTACATAGTTCTTATTTCTATATTTGGATCACTGCGAGACCTCAAGTTGTATGTAAAGGCATACTTCCCGTAGTCATGCGATTGTGGCCTCTACTTTTTGTCACTAACAACCTGTATTCAAGTGCCTGTGTTTTTCATTTTGTTAATGTGCTCAGATGTCCTCCATGATTGGTTTGAAACATTGGGATAAAATTAATTTGCAGTAGGATAGTTTAATATGTTAAATAAGGTCTCATTTTATGTTAGAGATACCAGAACTCTGGTACTTCACTGCCTGTGCACACTTAATGTTTTAAAACACAAATTTGAGTACACATTTAATCACAGGGAATCATAAATATAAGCACCTCTCTAAAAAATCCTTAGTTGGAGATGTTGAATAATAGACCAGTTTGAGCAAGTACCGTTTTTGCGGTGCAGTCTTAAACATTTGCTTTAAGAGAATAGTCTTGAATTTCACATGCTGCTATTTTTATATTATACCATTTTACAATTTTGTTTTGTTTTGAATTCATACATGTCGTGTTTTTCCTCTTTATTTTCTGAGCTGCGTTCTGGTCTGAGAGAAGAGACCCCCCCAATGCAGCTGGGGGGCCGGGGGTTCCATCTGTTACACGGGGGTCGCCCGAGCGCCAGTTAAAGCCCAAGTGCGCAAGGGGCGCACCGCTCGACTCTTTTATTCATAAGCTAATGTTTCTAAAAGTTATATTTAGAGTTTTCTTTTCTGCAGCTACGTTTGAAAATGGTAGGATGAAAAGGTTTTAGGTAGTTCATCACTTTTTATTCATTATAACGGCTCTTTTGAAAGCTCCTTTTTCATGAGTACACCTAAGAAATCTTGTGTAGACAGTTCGCAATATTCAGGGGCCTCATGCTGTTTCCTTTGGCACAGCTTCCACGTTGCATGTTTGTGTTAGCGTATTTTGGTATTGGTAATTTGATATATTTCATAGTGGCAAAATACTGTCTCTGTTTTGGGACCTTTTATGAACTACCCTTGTATTCAATAGCATAGAAAAATATTCTTGTGATTTTGGGGGTCTTCTGATATTTATCTCAATACTTTTGTAATTCTATGAAAATTATTTAATTATTTTAAAACTTATACTTTTCTTGTAAATATGTCACATTTGAATTGTCAAAAATTACTTTGAATACTTTAATGTTTGCTGCATCTTTTTCCCTGTACATATAACATGTTTTCATTCAGAATGGAAATACATGTGTGCTTCCCAAAGTCTACTTCTACGTCTGTCATCTTTATATGTCCAACTGGTTGAACACTGTAATGACTTGAGAATAAATTGGTCAAAATTAATTCTGACTTCTCATTTGCTTTGGTTTTGCTCTCGTGTGAACAGGTAAATAGAACTAGTACAAATGTGTTTGGTTAATCGACTTGAATTTATGTACTTAAGGACAGATTATTTGGCTACCTTTGAAGGACATAGCTTGACATGAAACTGCACATGAAGAAAACAAATCTTTTTGGGAAAAAAGCTTGCTTATTTTACTTAATTAAAACATGTTCTCAAAAGCAAAATTAAATATGTTGCTCCAGAGCTAGTTTGAGTCATCAGGCTGCTTGCAGGGCCTGGTCGTGGGTTAGACGGGACGGGACGTGGGTAGGCCAGGGGAGAGGGCAGCGCGTGCGGCCCGGGCGGGCGGGCTGTCGACGCGCGCTCAGAAGCCCTGCTGCTGGGGCCGGAGCTGCTGCTTGCACGGCCACTCCTAGTGACGGGTAGTTCACGTCTGCCGTATATGCAACATTCAGTGCCGGACGGCTCTCTTGGTCATTGCTACTAACTGGTGCAACTTAATCTTCTTTCCCTGAAAAATATTTCAAATGTTCTTCTGTAAAAGAAGAGAACATTGTAAACATTGTTGCTTTTACGAGGAAGAGAACCTTTGCTCAAATTTTCTTTTACTTAGAGTTGCTTTTCAGGAATCTTCCTTAAGTGGTGCTCAGACCTTTGTCAGAGTTCTGTCAACAGTCGGCGAGGCAGGAACTGTTTGAGCAGTGCCATGATATCACAGCTTGATTCTGGATTTGGTACGGCTCTTCCTTGCCTTTGGAAGGGTTTGCTGGTTCCCACAGGACACGATAGAAGGGCTTGTATTGCCTAGTTTTAACTTGCTATGGTATACAGATCCAGAATTGTATGTTATTTTTTAATGATTTTTGAAATTTTTATTTTTTCCCAAGCCTCACATAAGATATGTATTGGAAATATTGCTGAATTGGGGTTAGCATTTAACTTGGACTGATAAAATCATAGTATTCCATTATGAGGACATCTAAAGTGAAGCGTGCCCTTGCTATTGCTATGGTGGGCATGTGGTAGTGGCGCCACCTTCTGGTTATGTCAGTGCTGAATTTAAAATAAAGCAATTTGGAGTCCCGTCTATTTCACTTCGTTTTACTCAGAATATTAGAGGAGATATGCAAATGACTTCTTTAATTTTGGGGGAGATAATTGCAGATTCAATTCAATAGCTGTAAGAAACACAGAGCTCTTGCATACCTTTTAGTCAGTTTTTCCTCATGATAACATTGAAAACCTGTAAATATAATCAGGATGTTGACACTGATACAGTCAAGATACAGACTCATTCCATCCTCACAAGGGTCCCTCACTGTTGTCTTTGTATAGTCCCATCCACTTCCCATTCTGCAGGTGTGAAAATAAACTTAGTCACTTGCCCAAAATCTCATTAGGTTTAAAACCCAATTGTTCTGTTGCCAAAGTTTGGGCTCTTAACCATTATGCTATTACTGCCTCGGGAGAAACCTTCAGAACTACTTGTTTATATTGTACTACCTCCAGATTATTAAAGGAGTTGAATTTTCACTCTATTTTCATCATTTTCCAGAACATTTCAAAATGAATCTATCCAGAATCTATCAAATTTCAAATGATAGATTTCTTTATACATACATTTAAATTTAATATCTGAAAATCAGTAATAGAGAAATATTGTGATCATAACCTCGCTGAGAGATTTTAAGCTCTGACATTTGAGGTTCTATAAATTAACAAGCTTACCAAAATAAGGATTGTAAAATAAAATAGGATGCCCAATTCTTACAATGGAAACAGTTGTAGAGACTAATTATAATCCAGTGGGTGTAGGTTAAGCATGAGGAGTTTTTCCCTGTAAGGAAGCTTTTGGCCGCCTCAGGAAGTCTTAGGTCGAATCGGCACGTTCAGTGTGCAGTAGGCAACGCACAGGAAACCTAAGCAGATGAGAAAGACGCCAAAAAGGAACTTGCGAAAGGAAACACAAAGTACGATGTATGATCAAGTGGAAAAGTACCCATTCAGAGACCGAGATGGTCAGTGAATGATGGACTGGCTCGAGGAGCACTGTGGAGGGGCCTTCACAAGGTTCCAGAAGCCACAAGGGTATTTACAAGTCAAAACCATGACATGCCAGTAAATTTGTACAATGCTGATCTCGAATTTGAAGGGTCCAAATTGTCACATAGCAATTTAAATTGTTCCCTTAAAGGTCCATTGCTTCTTTCTCTCTTCCAAGCTGGGACTTACACCAGTCGTACCAGTTTTCTTTAGCCGCATGTTTTTTTGGGCGGGGGTGGGGGGGGATAGTTCCGTGATTTAGGATCTTACCACACCAAAGCTGGTGTTTGCCTGGCTTGGGCACCTTCATATGTGAACGTAGTCTACCCCTGTGGAACCTTATTTACTATTATTTCCAAATAGGGGCATTGGGTTCCAGTGACACCTGTTCCTTTGTGGCTTTTCATATACATCACGGTCATTGCCTGGGTCCGTGTTATCCCTCACGCCATCCTTTCTTGCTCTCCTTTTACCCATCAGTATTTTGGAGGTGGAAGATTTCCCAATGGATTAGGTACGGCAAGCGGGGCAGCAAGAACAGCCGCAAGCTCCTGGCCTGGACGACCAGGGCAACGGAGGCACGAACCAAGGCGGCAAAGGCTGCGGGGAGCTGGGGGGCAGGGAGGAGGCAGCAGGCAGGGGGCAGGGCGAAGACTGATGGCAGCATGGAACGGACCGGTAGTGTTCGAGATGATGGACGTCTCGGTAGAAATGTCAGGAGCCGAGAGGAATCTCAGCTGGAGAGTGGTCAACACATTAGATGCTGCTTAAAGCCAGGAGGCTGGATTGGAGAGATGAAGGAAGAAGGAGAGGGGAGCAAGGAGTAGGCTGGGGGCGCTCCTGCCTTGAGGGCTCTGGAGAGGGACTGGCGATGAGAACGAGAGGCTGTGACCCAGGAGGTCACAGGTGGCACGAGTGTGCGGTGTCTTGGGAGCCCAGCGAGGAGCGCGCAGGGAGGAGGAGGGGTGGTCAGGTGTGCCACGTGCTGCTCACCAGTCAAGTGGCAAGTGGGGGGCGGACTGGGAAATGGCTGTGGTCGACAATGTGGCAGCCGTTGGTGCCCTTACTAGGAGCAGCGTGGGCGGACTGGTGCGGGCCCAAGGTGCGGGGATTTTCGCTGCAGCGGGCCTGGGGAGATGGGGTGGTGGCTGGTAGCAAGAGCGAAAGCTGAGATTTTGTTAAGACAGAAGTAGTGGCGTTTTGGTGAAGGAGTGACCAAATAGCAAAAGGACTGGCGATGCAGGAGGTGGGGAGAATGGTGGGAACCGAGTGCTGGAGGAGGGAGGGGAGCCGGGACCGCGGCCGCAGCAGAGGGCCCGGCCCTAGACAAGGGCGCCGGCCTTCCTCTGCGGTGAGTGCGCTGGGCGTCGGGCGCTGCTGCCCACATGGGTCCATGTGGAGGGAGTCAGTCTCAGCAAATTAGGAGGCAGAATCCTCGACGGTGAGTGGAGTGGGGAAGGAGGTATTTGAGGTGTGTCGAGAGGAGCCGAAGGTGTGAAATTGTCTAGGATGGCGGAGCGGGAACGAAGCGGGGAAATGCATCCTGGGCCTTGAGTTCCGTGGGCAGGAATGACGGTGTTAAGTAACGCGGGCGTCATTGGTGTCACACGCCTGCCTTCAGTGGCAAGGCCTCTAGTCGTTCTCCATCAGGATGATTCTGGCTTTGTGGCTGAGAGAGAAGTATTTTAACAGCTCAAACAACTATTCAACTACTCGTATTTTACTGAGTGGTTTTTTTTTTCCTTAATGAGAAATGGTGGCTGAATTTTGTCAAATGCCTGCAGTAGCTGTGAGGTAGCCCTTTCCCCTCCGTAGGTTAGTTAACTTGGTGAATATGAATCCGTTTTCTAAGATTCAACTATCATTACATTTCCAGAGCAAATACCATTTGCTCAGGTTTTCTTGTTTTTTAAATATGCTACTTGATTCTATTATTATATTATTTTTTCATAAAGGTGATACCGACCTGTATTTTTCTTTTATGTGGTTTCTAGTCTTTGTATATTTTGTGGCATTCTATTATACTAGCTTCACTGAGAGAGCTTGGAAGGGTTTTTTTTTCTTCTGAGCTCTCCTGGAAAAACGGGAGGAGAATTGGAGTTACTACTCGGAAGAGCTGGCGGGGCCTCCCTGTGAAACCACCTGGACACCTTCTGAGGGGTGCGCCTGACCGGTTCCTCCTTTCCTCTTGGAAAAGCCATGTGCTTAGGTTTTCTATCTTTTCTGGAATCAGTTCTGATAAATAACATTCCTAGAAAATTATATATTCTGAGTTTTCAAATGTATTTGCCTGGAACTGGGCAGAACAGGGCAAGAACTCCCGTTGTCTTTAACCCAAAATGTACGAACAGACGTGAAGACTTTGCTTCTGCACTGGGTTGCGATAACATTGCGTTTTCCCTGTGGTTCCAGACACAAATGTGGACACCAGGGTAACGTGGTGGGATTCAGGCCCAGGGAGGCCGTCCAAAGCGAAACTGTTTTACAATTGGCAATTTGAACGGGCAGGATGTCGTTTCTCACAAAGAGCCCAGGACCCCTGGAGAACACGTCTGGGCTCCCATTCGAGACGCAGTCCGTGTGAGCGGCGTTCAAAGTTCGCGGCTAGTCCTCAGGGCCCTTGCGTTTCCAGCTTCTCACCCACTGCCGCCCCGTGTCCTGCGCGCCAGGTCAGATGAGCCGCCCCTGTTTCCTCGTGCTCCCACCTCCCTGTGTCCTTGCTGTTGCCGCTTGCCTGCTCCCCTCCGCCTTTTATTTCCACCCATCCTCCAGGTCTCACCTAGGTGAAATTTTCTCCCTGGGTGTTGGAATTCCGTTCTCTCTCTCTTTCTCTCAGAACATTGTTGATGTGGATTTTAAAGAGAGAAACATCAATTTTGTTGTTCCACTTACTTGTGCATTCAGTGGTTGATCCTTGTATGTGCCCTGACTAGGGATCA